ACCGCAGGATTTCCCGTGAGCCCGTCCCCCCGGCACAGGACAATGAGCGTCCGACAGCTGGAGACGGCGCTGCCTTCGCCTTCCCCGGCACCGCCAGGGCGATCAAACAGGAAATTCAGCGAAGAAAGGGTTGTTCGTGCTCGAAAGCCCAAACTTTCATTGCCGTGCCCAGCCCTGCTGACCCGGGAGGAAGATGCTGAAGTCAGGATATTAAAGTACTTTCCCTGACTGCCGTGGAAAGAGCAGGACGTGGTGAGGTGGTCTGCAAACAAGACAGTTCGGTGCCATTTCAGGATGCTCAGCACACGGCCCCCATCTGATGGAGCAGCAGGGTCACCCCAGCCCCCCCCAGTGACCCAGCAAACCCACTCCCTTCCACCCTGCCTGCATGGGCATTGTTTGCCTGCATCCCCGCTTTCATTAATTAAAGGTTTTTATTTAATTAATAAAAGACAGGGCTTTTATTTCTAGCAAGGCTTTTGGCCGTACCTCGTGCTTTCCTGGCAATTTGCCCCCTCGCTCTCTCGCCATCATCTCCCCTGCGAGTGGGGGGCACCACAGCTGGAGCTGCCCTTTGTAGGACGGGTCTGGGCAGCCCCAGGCAATGGGAGAAAGCACCCGTGGGTCCCTTACACAGACCCCCAACCCCAGCCTCCATGACAGCAAGATTTCACCCCAGAAGTCGCTGTGCGCTCAGCTCTGCTCCTTTCCAAAGGAGCTTTTAAAAGTGCCAGAAGTTTCTGTTTCTGTTCTAGCGGCCGTGATTTACTCACTGTAACTGGCTATTCATTATGTCCTGCTCTGCTTTATTAACTCGGCGATCGTACATTTAGCAGAGAATTTATGAGAAATGAGGAGACATTCATTATCAGTAACACCACAAACTTTACTCTTATATGGTCTCCCTGCGCGGTGCTCGGTGCCCGTGGCAGCGCTCACAGCCCATGCAGCCCCCGCGCAGCCCCCCATGTCCGGCCAGGCCCCGGGTGTCCCCAAACGGGGACAGCCCTGCCCGCAGGCAGAGGGGACGTGGCGCTGGCTGCGGGTGAGCGACAGACGTTAATTAAGATAAAACACCCGTCCAGACATTAATTAATATCAAACGCCCGTCCTCGCCTCAACTGCGGGGGCCGGAGCAGAGTGAAAGCCGCGCAGACGCCGCCTGATGCAGCAGCGCTGGTCTCAGCAGCCAGAATCTAATTTAGTTTTCATAGCTAGGATAAGGAGAAGTATCAGATAGACGCGGTGCAAATTCTTTTCCCTATCAAAAACTTTCCCGATGGAATTTAACCAGCTTAGTCTCATCTTCTGTTGTCTGAAAATCAATGGGGCTTTTTTCTGTTTCCTGAGCAGGCAGGATTGTCAGAGAAATGGCTTTACCTTCCAGTGACTGAGCTGTGGCAGAACCGTGTTAAAACGCACCCCAGTGAACAGCACATCTGAACACGCATGGTGGGAGATGGGCTGAGGCTCCCGGGCCCTGCAGATTCTTAGATTTTATACATGCTAAAGATATAACACACACACATATATATATGTATATGTAAGGCAATAATGTCACTTCCCAAAACCCCTTAGTGCCCTGCCAAAGGCTCCGTTTCTGAGCATTTCGCCTGTGGCCAGGAAGGTCCCGGCAGCACCAGCGCTGTCCTGGGCATCGCACACCACGCAGGCTTGGGCAGGCCGGCAAAAGGAAAGCTATGCAGAACATGCCCCAGCACAGAGGCATCCCAGATTACCTTCTTTGGAGCGATTTTGGACAGTTACAAAAATGCAGACCACGCTCCCTGCAAGAGTTGCTGCTCCGGTACCTGCTGCAAGGGGCAGCCTTGCCCTCCTGCTTGGGGGCTCCTTGTGGGGCTGGGGGCTTCTGGCAGCCCCCAGAGCAGCTCCTGGCTCGGCCCTGCGGTACCTGTCCCCTCCTCCAGCAATGCAGCCGGGACCCCCTCACTTCACAGCCTGGAGCCGGAGATGCACCCAAAACCTGCTCGTACCCCCAAAGAGCCCCTGTTTGCAGAGGGCTCCGAGCCCAGAGGAGCAGAGCGCAATCAGGGATGTGGCTGAGCTGCTCTGCAGAGACGGCAGGGATAGGAAATAATCCTGCCATTAACGTGTGAAATGGAGCATTTGCATTGCACAAAGCAATTATACAATATTAGAGGGAGAGCAGCGATAGCGATCGCCTCTTGTCTGGAGTTCCGCTCCAGTCCAACCCGTGAATAATTCCTCCTAGGCATTACTGGGAAAGCAGCACTAAAAGACCGATATAAACAAAAATTACTGGGAAAAAAGCAGATGAGGCATGCCTCATTTCTCAGTCAGAGCTGAGCACAACTAAATTTATACAAAGTGGGCAGAGCAGCTTAGAGGGGCAGCGCCGTTTGTTACCGCTCAGCGCGAGATGAGCTCACACGGAAACGCGTGCTTCATCCTGGCAGCTCTCTGATGTCTTACTCCTGAAGCATCAGCTTCACTCTCGGTTTCCATGGCAGATACTTTTCTCAGCCTGCATCTTCCACAAATATTGCTAATTTATTCTCTGCGAATACCTGCGGAAGGATCCCGTGTGCAATGAAATCGGTGCAAACCCGGCACACGTTAACGGGCCTCAGCCCCTGTATTCGACCAGGGGAAACTAAAGAAGGGTTTGTTCTCTACATCCACGAGATCTGGCACTATTTTTTGTCCTAAGCACTCTGAAACTGTGTTATCTGCCCAGTGAGGCCCAGTACACCCAGCATTTCAGGTTTTATGGGCAGGTTCCCGCCCTGCAGCGCTCCCCATTGGGGCCAGCGATGAGCAGGCGCCTCTGCCTGCACTTCCCTTCGTATCCCGTGTTAACAGGGGTCTGTAAAACATGAGGCTCCTCCACGGGCCCAGGAGCC